CTGCTGCTACTTGAACTTGCAAATAACCATATGATCAGGGGTGCACATAACTTTTTTTAGTGGACTCCTCAGGTGAGTACGAGGAGATGATGTTCGGTACTTCCCCCATGTGCAGCTTTGTCTTAATAAGTGCCACCTTCTTCGCTGCCCTCCTCAGTGTCACTCCCTCTACCCTCTGCTTCAGCTTCCTGCATGGTAGATGATGCAGATCCTGCAGATGTACCTCTTTGTCCTTGGTATTTTTTTCCTCTTTTGTTTTTTGTAAAACCCCCATTTTGTGAAATGTAGTTATGACACCCCAACATTTTTCAGAGGTCATCTGGACAGTTTCTTTTTTTGTGCTGAAACGTTTCGTCTTCAATCCGGAAGGCTTCATCAGTCAAGGAAACACACAACAAAACTGATTCTCCCCCCAACAGCTTACTCCAAAGTGGAACAAACCAGTTCTGCTTGTGATAAGATGGTTGGAGATGGACGGAGACCATAGGAGGAAAATTTTGGGGGAGCCAGTAAAATCGTTTTATTTTATATAAATACATAAATAAACGTTTACGTAACCTTGCCACTGAAATAGCCATATGTTGTTTATTAATACAAAACAAATAACTTCAACAGTGACATGCAGTCACCAGAAAATGCTGAGAAATTGTGCTCAAGTTTGCATAATTTTTTTTTGCATAAATCTTAGAAACTGGCACTGCATTAATCATTGTGTTTTAAACGCATTAACACCAGAAATATAAAGGTAACTGTACATGAACTCCTGAAGAGAGGTGAAAATGTTTAAAAAATACTGAACATTTTTAACATTTCCACTCTTTTGTTGAACAAACCTGACAAGCAAATAAAAAAATTGAAAAAAACCTGTGGAAAATGTTTTTGTTAAACCAAGTTCTGATGTCCATTTTGGCATATTACCTTATCAAAGTGTCTTCTTCACCTTCTGCTTGTGATATTATTAGCGTTTGGAAAAAAAAGCAACATTTCACCTAGATTTCCTTTAATTCTAAAAAAGTTAAATCTGGTCCTCTGGACATTCAAAAAAACAACAAAGCAAAACAACAAAAAAATGTAGAAACGTTTCATCTCTCACCCGAGAGACTTCTTCAGTCTGAGGTGCTGTATTCAGCTCAGTCTCTTAAATAGCACCTTCTCAGAGTGGATCAACCAGTTTTGCTGCTGACAACCAAAACCAGCTGATCACATGCTCAAGAAGGACCATCAGCCTAACAATGGATCATTAGCACACTGATGGCTGTGTACTATTCACAGAGGGCTGAGTGATACTAGCAATCACAGCATTGTAAGAGGGGGACAGTTGAACCCGGAGGCCTCCGCCCCTGTTTAACGATGGACGATTTCTTTTCACAAAGATGGCCTCCTTTACTCCTCTCTCAAACCATCGTTCCTCTCTGTCCAGGATGTGAACATCTTCATCCCTGAAAGAGTGACCGCTGGCCTGGAGATGAGTGTAGACCGCAGAATCCTGGCCTGATGATGTTGATCTTCTGTGCTGGGCCATCCTTTTGGCCAGTGGCTGTTTAGTTTCCCCGATGTAAGACTGATCACAGCCCTCCTGACAATGAACAGCATACACAACATTACTCTGTTTGTGGCGGGGGACTGGCTCTTTGGGATGAACCAGTCTTTGCCGTAATGTATTTTGGAGTTTAAAAGCCACTGGGACGTTATGTTTAGAAAATAAACGTCTCAGTTTCTCTGATACTCCCTCAACATATGGAATGACCACTGGTCTGGGTCTGCGTTCCTCCTTTTCACCTGTTGGCTGACTGGAGTCCTGTTTGGGTTTCTTCTCTGCTTTCAGGAAGGCCCAGTTAGGATATCCACATTGCTCTAGAGCCTGTCTTGTGTGGGATTTCTCCTTCTGCCTGGCTCCTGAGCTAGTGGGGACGCTGTCTGCTCTGTGATACAGAGTCCTGATGACTCCTAACTTGTGCTCCAAGGGGTGATGGGAGTCAAACTGCAAATACTGGTCTGTGTGGGTGGGTTTGCGGTACACCTCGGTTTGCAAATGTCCTCTATCAGAGACTGAGACCTCACAGTCCAAGAAAGCCAACTTGCCATTTTTTTCATCTTCTCATGTGAACTTGACGTATTTATCCACAGAGTTGATGTGGTCAGTAAAATATTGGACTTCCTGAGATTTAATTTTAACCCAGGTGTCGTCAACATACCTGAACCAATGACTTGGTGGTGTCCCTGAAAAGAACGTCAAGGCTCTCTTTTCTACCTCCTCCATGTACAGGTTGGCAACAATAGGAGAAACTGGAGACCCCATAGCACACCCATGTTTCTGCCTATAATACTGCTCCCCATATGTGAAGTAGGTTGACTGCAGGCACAGTTTCAAGAGTTGACACAGTTGTTCTGTGGAAAGTGTGGTCCTGCTGCTCAGAGTGGTGTCTGATTTTAATTTTAAACTGACCACCTCTACTGCATCATCAACAGGAATGCACGTAAAGAGTGATGTGACATCAAAAGAGACCATTGTTTCATCAGTCTCCATGATGACATCCCTCACCTTGTCCACAAAGTCCATGGTGTTCTGTATGTGGTGTTCTGAGCTGCCAACTAAAGGGATGAGTACAGACGCCAGATATTTGGCGTCATTTAAGAGACTGAGCTGAATACAGCACCTCAGACTGAGGAAGTCTCTCGGATGAGAGACGAAATGTTTCTACATTTTTTTGTTGTTTTGCTTTGTTTTGTTTTTTTGAATGTTCAGAGGACCAGATTTAACTTTTTTAGATTTTTCTACCTGGATTATTGAGCATGCATCAGGATATTTCCTTTAATTCCACACATTTATAGCATGTTTCTCATGAAGTTTGTCTTTGAGTCAATACATCGAATGGGTTCAACTTATTTACACTGTGTTGTACTCTGTCTTGGGTGGGGGGTGGGCTGGATACCTGAATGGGCCGGCCGGCCGTGCCGGACCTGCCCTGTGGCGCTGGGTCCGCCAAGTCCCCACTACCCATTCATGCTGCTCTTATTTTGAAATGTAACCGGAAGTTCTGTGTTAAGAGAGGCGGAAAGAGAAGTTATGGAGACTCCTCTAATGTCGAACTGGCTAAAACAATCTGCCTGCCTTTATACTCAGGTTATACTTGCTTAATAAGTCTTCTGAGACCTTCGTCCAATCAGGTCTAGCCCTTTAGTAACACCTTGTGTTTATTTGTTCAATCAGGTGTGGCCCTTGAGATAAGCCTTCCTTTGGGAACGCCTGTTCGTCTGCAGACATACCTATTTGCCGCCTGCCAGCCCTGGATGATGGTGGTGGGGCGGCCCAGGTGCAGCGATAGTGGCGTTCTGAGATTTAATGTTGTTAATAAAAATGTATTTTTAAAAAAGGGGGAGGGGCACCAGCTCTGCATCCCACACATCAGACTGGCCCACTGGGAAATCTCCAGATCCTCCCATTAACTTGACGGTAAAGTATATGCAAAGGCTTGTGGTAACACAGGTGATGCTACGCATTCCTGATTTTTGTTGTGCATGTGTACCAGTTATGTGCACCTCTGCAAAACGTAATGCACAACTGACTGCAAAGATAAGGATTCATAAAATAGTTTCTGCAATTCCTTTGAAAGTTTAGATTAGGAGTGGTTAAGGGCTCATTTGGTCTGGTGAAATTAGTTGTTCATAATCCAACAAAGTTAAGTCAGGTCCTCTGGACAGTTTCTGTTTGTTGAAAGGTTTCGTCTTTCATTCAAAAGGATAAAAGTCTTTTCATCCAGAAGACTTCATCAGTCCTTGGACTGATGAAGTGCTCCAACAAAAAGAAACCGTCCAGAGGACCTGACTTAACTTTGTTGGATTTCTCTACCTGGATTATTGAGCATGAATCAGGATAGTTGTTCATAACATTTCTACAGTAACCAACGTCATAAGATTTAATGTTTCACTTTGATCCAGGCACCAAAAGATTATATTCATAGCTGCGTGTAGAAATATGAGCTGAGGGTTAATAGCAAGACTTGTTTTATGTCTTATAGAAGAAAGCTTTTCTCACAGCAGAGTGAAAATGAGTAATATTTGATGGAAGGACTTCTCATCTTTCTCCATGAGGTCGGCAGTAACTGATAGCCTCAGGCCGACCAGAAGCCTTCTCATTTGCAGAAGAATTTATGATCCGTTGGTTTCAGGTTTGTGTCCAAGTCTTGGAAACACCACACAAGTGCTGCCGATGGAGGAGATATTTATTACCTCAGCAGGTGCTCCGCTCATTTCACGGGAGCACAACAGACGGCAGGAAATTATTGCAATGCAGATATGATGTCACAGTTTTCTGTTTATTGTGTTTATTTTGCTGTTGGCGTGTTGTGGTCTTGTGCTGAACATGTGAAGTGGTTCAGAGTGCCAACCGACACACAAACACTCAGTCTGTTTGGGTTAGGGATGACTATAATTCCTCCAGACAGCTGGACTCAATTACTCCCACAAGAGAGCTTTAAAAGGAGATAGATTTAAGGTAGGCTTGCAAATCTTTACTTCCCAAGAACTTGTTTGCAGACACTCCCAAAACATCTTCCGAGGGCCATGGTGGCCCAAAACCTCAAATATGGAGATACTGCTATGTTTAAAAGGGTAACAACTAATAACAGGTATTAAGAAACTAAATGGTATTCTGACTAAAAATCCAATCATCATGTCAGGACTAATCTCCTTGTGTTATGTGAATTTGATTGAACACAACCTTAGGCATGAATGATTTTAAAGAATATTAAAGAAACCTTTTGTCTATTGAGCTAAAAGTGGATGAATATCAGTCAACTAATCATTGAAGCAACCATCTCTATTATTGCAGCCAAATTTAAAGCCGGTCACCAGTCAGATCAGTTGCTGCTGCACTTCATGCTGCTTACTAAAGCACAAACTGATACAACGTAAGCCAATTTAGCCTTTTTCTGAAAAGCATCAGGACATTTTTGAAAATATATCACATCACAATTGTATTAAAAAAAGAGAAAACTTACCAATCCAGCAATAGGTGTTGGGAGTCTGTTAACCCTTTTTATGGTAGCAGGCTTGATCTTGTTGATCAGACTAAACAACAAGAAAGAGACAAAAACATTGGAGCCAAATGAGAGGGTTAGTGAAAGCTCTCAGTCATTGGCTTGGCTAGTCTACCTACGATGAAATGAACAAGTCTGGTTGCAAAGTCCTGGTGTTTTGTGTTTATGACTGGGTTTAATGGTGGCCACCTGGCTTCAGTTTAGTAAATCACCAGTGCTGCAACCGTGTAAACAAAGTGAGCTTTCTGCACCCAAAACATACCCTCGGCTACTAAAACTAAACTCCACAACTACTTTGAAACTTTTAAAACTTACACAATGGAAATGGTTTTAGTTAGATTCCAGTGCATGTGTGATTGCATCTATTTCACAAAGTTTTATATTAAAAACTTTGTATTTTTGCATTTTCTTTTAGCTACACTTCAGTTAATTATAATCACACAATTTAAAAAAACAGTAGGGGCGCACTAAATGTTATTACCCACAGCCATGTGTTAATTCAGTATTTTCTGAACCATTTAAAAATGGGGGGGGGGGGGGGGTGTCAGAAGACAAGTAAATTGTGTTTGTCAGAATCCACAAACTATAATTGCAGAATAAGATAAAGTTGAACAGACTAAACAAATAAAACCTGCAAAAGACATTAACACCAACGCTGCGTCATCTGTTAGATATTTGTGTTTGCTTCATATTAAAAAAATCTGAATAATCTTCACATAACAGATTTAAATGTGTGTGTTTTGTGAAGTAAAAACATGCAACTGAAGCACCTGTTTTCTTCAAGGAAACAAGCTCAACATGAAACAATTTGTTAAGGGTGCAAACTGTAGGTGGATGGGACATTAGTTGCAAGGAAAGAATGCAGTACTGGGTTCACAATAGTCATTTAACAGTGAAACAATAGAGCACCACAAGATAACACACACTTTAGAAGGATGTAATCATGAGTGTAAGCGACACTACACATTCCTTTCCAAGTAAGAAGTTGTGATAGCTCCAACACAATGGAGGACGAAGGCCGAGTTTCTAGGTGAAGGTGATTTAATCGGTCTTCCTCTTCCTCGTGCTGAGAAAACAAAGTGCAACTCACTGATTGTTTTTCTGAGATCGGGCAAACGCTGGAGTCAGGCTCAAATCAGCAAAGTCGGGAGCCTTCTAATTGAACAAATGCCGATAAACGTTTGAAAGATTCTGCAGGTAATTACAGCCTCCTGCTGATATGTGCAAACCACATCCCTATATCCATCCGAGGTAAAGTTGCTTCATGCTTTCCTGAGCTAAGACACAATTTTACAACTCAGATAAGTGCAATTGGGAATCAATGCTCGAGTAAATGTTGCAAAGACAGAAGAATCATCTGTTTTATCCAAACTCTTGGTGCTCTCATGCAAATGAGAAAGCAGCATGCTGTGGTTTAAACTGGAGGTTTTTTCTCACAGCTTCTCATTAAAAAAAGGGATGGCACTCAGCCCTAATCCACACATCTATAACATGTGTCCAACAGACAACATCTTGAAATAGATCAAAGCCATTTACCAAGACACAAGAGAAAAACTGCTCATGATAACATCAAGTAACTACCAAGTGCAAACTCTACTGGGCTGTCTGGAAACACTGGCTCTGTTTGTGTGGCAGACAAACAAACCTAACAGGGGGTCTGCCTGGGAAATATTAGCAACACTTACGTTTGAGTGCAGGCCTGGAGGAGAGAGCAGAGGGATTCCTTCTGAATGAGTGGCCTAAAAAATTTGTCTGCATGGAAAAACACGCACACACACACCAAAAAAAAAAAACAGTACTTACTCACACAACAGAACTCCATTTTCCAGCGCTGATCGGAAGTTGTTGCTCCCAAATTTTTTCTTGGTTACAGCCTGTAAAATAAATAGGAACAGTGAGAAAAACAGCAAGCATGCAGGCTTGAGTGAGGAGAGGGAGGCAGGAGGTGAGGGGGGAGGCTGACCAATGAGGGGTGGGAAGGTTGGAGAATAAAGGTAGGATGTTGAGAACTGTAGCAGAGGAAGTCAGAGGTATTTCCTCCCAAGTTCCTACGTCGTTTCTGTGAGGCAAACAGTTCCTCAGGTATTCCTGAGGAACTGCCATGTGAGGCTGTTTTTGTATTCTCACATTAGTGCTAAAAGCTGTTGGCAAAAATAGGAAAGCTGTGTTAAAACACCCCTAGAGTCAAATTGCACAGGCCGCGCATCTGGAGCACAGCACTGTGTTACAGCCTCAGGCTTTTCCCATGATCTCAAACCACCACAGCCGAAACTCCAAGAGCAGTTATGTAAGCAAACACATGCTGCATGCATGACGTTCAGCCGCAAACACAGAGCACAATCATCATCCCTGAATTTTAAACTATGAAGCAACCTTTTATTTTCTTTGTGTTGAGGAGGACATGCATACATGTATAATATATATAAAAATTGATTCTGGTGGCCACTCCATTAAGCTTCTAGCTCAGTTTTGTTAGACTGTTAGATTGTTGCAGAGTCAAGCAGCTACACGACCCAGCACATATAAGAGGACATGCTGCAGTTGTGCACAAGCCTTGAGATTTGCCATCTTACAAATATTATTGAAACTGTCTGGATTTGCAACAAAATATTTTATTCACAAGTTTCACAGCGCTCTATATTGGACCAAATTCTTAGTATATAGACGTGACATTTTACTGTATGCAGATGATACACATGATTGTGCATGCTAACAGACATTATGGAAAATTTTAACATGTTGGCTCAACAGATTTTGTTTACAGTAGCACAAGACAAAACAGTTGACACGTTCTTTTCTAGAAGACAATGAAGACAAAAACCCAGTTTTCATTTCAGGAATTAAGACTACAGGTTGACGCAGAATATAAACATCTAGTTTTACATTTAGATTCACATTTTAGCTCTAAGTCACATAAAGATGTGCTCCAAGATACAGGTCAGTTTGGTAAGTGTTAGATTTACTAGATCCCCTTTCACACGAAGTAGTAAAGATTTACTTTCACTTGTGTTAGTTACTGTTTGATAATACACACCCTTCAGTTAGAAAAACTTTGGAATTGATGCACAAACAAGCCACTAAAATCTTGGATAAGTAGTTACTGAGTTTTCATTCTTTTCATATTTTAAAAGAAATATAACTTGCCAAGTTAAGAAACTTTATGAATTACGTGAATGTTTGTTTAATACATAGTACTTGGGTGTGCACCTGAATGACAACCTCAGCTGGGGCGAGAAAGCACAGACTATTCCCTCAGGCGGCTGAGATGAGCTGCTCTGGAAAGCTCAGTCCTCACCTGCTTCTACAGGTGTGCAGTGGAGAGCATCCTGTGCTCCAGCATCAACGTGTGGCATGGAGGCTGCACAGCTGCAGAAAGAAAAGCTTTGCAGAGAGTGGTGAAGGCTGCACAGAAGTCTGTTGGAGTCAGCCTCCCCACCATCACAGACATTTACACCTTCAGATGCAGGAAGAGGGCCACCTGCATCATGAAGGACCCCACTCACCCAGCACACACTTTTTGTCCCATTCCCCTCAGGCAAGAGGTTGAGGAGCATTAAGTGTAGAACCACTAAACTGAGGAACAGCTTCTACCCTGAAGCCGTTGGACTCATGAATCTCTAACCAGAATAATCACTGTGAAAAATCACATAATGTTGCTGCTGATCTGTTTCATGCTGCTGTGTTCATTCGTGCTTATCTGCTCACACAGACTCATGTTCGTCCTGCTGTTCAGCGTAGTTTTTGTACCATTAGTACTTAGCGTATTTTTAGTTAACATTTTTCTTAGTTCATATCTTAGATCTCATTACTGTTTATCTTTTACATTTTTTACTTTTGTTTGATGTAACTGGGACCCTGTGTACACAATTTTGTTCCACCACATGTACCACATGTGGTGTGAATGACAAATAAAGAAACTTTGACTAGTATATTTTTAATATGATTTACCCAGTAGTTCTTCCTCCTTTATTACTTGTGGTTCCTAGAGTTTCCAAAAGCAGAATTGGAGGAAGATCTTTCAGTTACCAGGCTCCTCTCTTGTGGAACCAACTTCCAGTTTCTGTACGTGAGGCTGACACATTGTCCAGTTTTAAGACTGGGATTAAGACTTTCCTTCTTGATCAATCCTATAGTTAGGATTAGCTTGTTATGCTGCTATAGGCTTAGACTACTAGAGTTCAAATTTGACCTCATTTCTTAAAATGAATTGTTACAAACTGATAGTTTTCATTTGATACTATTTCTATCTTAACGTTATTCCCGACCTGCCATTGTGTATCTGTTCCTCTCAAACCCAGCAGATGGCCGCTTGTCCCAAGACTGGTTCTGCTAAAAGGTTTCTTCCTCATGAGGGAGTTTTTCCTTTCCACTGTCACCTTTCATGTTTGCTCAAGATGAGAGTTCTGTGATGGAATTAAATTCAAAGCAGTCTGCTCCTCAGATAAATAATATTATTTTTATATGAATGTTTCTGTTCAGTGCCCTGAGATGACTTTTGTTGTGACTTGGAGCTACATAAATAAACTGAATTGAATTCTGATGATTTTAGAGCTACAAGAAAAGATGGTCAATGAGCTTTATTAAATTTATTGAAGATGTTTATTCATACATTTTCTTATACTGCAGTGTTTAACTTGCTGTGTCTATTGATGATATTTTAATATTAAAAAAAATAAATTAAAGTGAAAAATATAGGAAAAACATACCGTGCGGTCTCATAATTTTTCCTCAGTTGACACAAAAATCCTGATACTAATAGTGTATATAAATATCTTTAACTTAAATAGACACATTCTTTACATAATGTGTTGCAAGCACATGGTAGTTGCATAAAAACACAAACACACACAGTGAAAAAACAAGTTGGACCAGTTTCAACTAAATTCACCAGCTGTGCCTTGTTGTAGGAATTTTGTCCGATTTCCAAGATCCCAAAAAAAAAAAAAAAGGACAAACGACAAGACAAATACTAGAAAGCTAAAGTACTGGGCTTCATTAAAGAGGACAGAAGAAACCAGAACAATTCCAATGAATACAAGCCACTATCATTATGATGAAATAATTTGTGCTGCACCTCTGAACACACCTTTAGTAACCCGAGATGACCAAAGCCTCAAATACCCATCATTCCAAGAGTATTAGACCATGCAGCAATAGATGTATTGGATTAAAGTTCTCACACACCTTGTTTTTCTGTCTAGTCTTCCTGGATTTGCGCAATGAGACCAAACAGCTGGGAAATACTTGTCATGGTTCCAGAACACACCAAGATCCTGGCCTGATTCGCTTTCATTGACGAAAAACACCATTATAAGGCAGACCCCCCCAAGAGCACACAACAGAACCACAGACATGCATGCTTGGCTGCACATGTAAACACATTCACATGTTTACGAAGAGACAACAAGCAGCGCTGCATTTGGCATAAAATCCTGACCCCTGCTGTTCCACAGAGGCGGGGCAGCAACAGAAAATCACTGGCATACAAATAAACAAAGCAGGTGGAAGTCTCACAGTGGGTAGGATTATATATTCATCCTGTTTGGTTATCATTTTATTTTTTAAAACAGTCATTTTGATGTTATTCCTTCAAACATGTTCTTATCAAAGTCGCTCAAACTGAAAAGGGACTATTCAAATACGGACCCACCCTGGCATTACGCTATGTTCTGCACCAAAAACTGTTCTCCTCTATCATCAGAGCCTTTAATGTGCTCCATCTTTTCTGCTCAACCTGCCATGTTGGATCACAGCTCTGATCTGGAACTCACTCTGGTTCAACAGAAAGATTAAAGGCTGGAGCAGAAATGTCAAAAACAGCTTCTTACAAACCCACCTTCACTCCCCTCAAAAATGCAACGGCTGCGGCGCTGAAAGCCCGTTTGTCAGAGTTCATCACGAGTTATGAAAGACTTTGAATACTTGAGTTATTGCCACAAACCACATATGGCATCTTGGTGTAGCAGAAATAATCAGAGTCAAAGTTATTGTTTAATCATGCAGGGCCACTGACAAATCTTTAGGTTTCAACCAACAGTTTCAGAAACTCTTTATCCTTTACTGCAGCAGATATGGGAGGTGGGGAACATTATCCAAATATTTCAGGGTGCTGATTCAAGAAAAACACAGACATACTGGAACAACAGAATCGTACATCTGAAGTGAATAGTTTGTGCGTCGGCCTGCTTCACGTTCTGAATGCCTGTGGTCTCGGTTTGAGTTGCTTTTTGTCAAAATAGTCCAAAAATCCAGAGCGGTGCTACACAGAGGTGACTAATGATCAGTTCAGCTTCTTAGCCTCTAGTGTGGAAAAAAATACAGCAGCATGAGTTACAGAACGATAACGATCTGGCTGCAGAACTGCCCAAAAAAATAGTGAACACGTTCAACTGGATTTGAAAAATATTAAAATTGTCTAAAGCAAACAATCAACATAGAAACCTTGATGTTTTACTTGGCTTTTATTAGCTTTACTTATTTCCCCTTGATTAAAAAAAAAAAGTTAATAAGAAATTAATCCACAAAATGTTCTGGGAATGATCTTGAGCCATATTTTTAGGAAACAGTGTTTCAGATAAACATGAATAGTAATTTTCCCCATTCCATAGAGTTTTTGATGGGTGATGACAGATCAAATTTACAACCAGGAAGTTATTTTGTTGTCTTGATTGACACAGTTATTATGAACATCAGTTAAAGTATGAAGAATTCATCCAGGTGACCTGACTTTACTTTTTTGGATTTATTTACCTGGATGATTGAGGATGCATGAGGACATCAGTTAAAGTTCTTAACGCTAAGAAGGAAGCTAATGTATGAAGTTAAAAAGTTGTTTTCTGTTTTATTTCATTGCAAACTGAAGATTCAGAAACTATGGAGACCACGTTTTCTTCCACTTTAAAAAAATACTTGAAAATAGCACATTGTCAGATTTAAAATGCATTTTTAATTTACTTAAGTCTTTCAGTTGCAGAGATTATTTTAATGTGAAGATTAGGAGACAGTGGGACAAACTTAAACGTGGTGTTTTTATTTGAAAGTTGGTTATATTTTTGTTGAAAATGCAAGCATCACTTTGTCTTCAGCTTTCTTAAACACTGATGTTAACTCATACTCATCTGCTCACAGACTCATGTTCATGCTGCTGTTCGGCATATTGTTTTTATGTTATTAGTACTTAGTGTATTTTTAGCTAATGTTTTTCTTAGTTCATATCTTAGATCTTATTACCGTTTTTCTTTTACATTTTATACTTTTGTTTGATGTAAATGGGACCCTGTGTACACAATTTCGTTCCACCACATGTACCACATGTGGTGTGAATGACAAAGAATCTGACTCTCTGACGTGACGATCAGCACCCAGTGGTGAAACTAAAGTCTTCCCTACACCAGTAGCAGCAACTTTAGCTTCCACTAAGAAAATTCAACACACTTTTCCTTTTCAGCATTTTACTGACCGTAGGTTCATCAGGAACCTGTTAAATATAGAAAATGTTAACACTTAATGAAAGAATGGGATTTACTGTAGCTGCAGAAATCCAGTGCTCCATAACGACAATAGCTTATAAATCTATGAAGTTTTTTTTTCTTGTCAGACAGGAAATTTGACTTTACTGCCCAGCAATCCAACAAGGAGTTTTCTCAGAACACCATTTCCTGGACTTGTAGAACATCTAACCCCCATTGTTTTCTTTAAAATAATAATAATCACTTTACAAGCTCAGGATACAGCCATTTAAAGCCCATTTACCTGCTATGCTATTGTTGTATTCTGGTTTGGTATGACAGCTCAATACATGTTGAAAGCTTGGAGTTTTGCAGCTCCTGACATCTTTCAATCTGACTAATGAAAGTTCAAACTAATATTTCATTCCTGTTTAACACCTAATTGTATATTCTACAAAGTAAAAGCTTAGAATACACAATCTGCTCCCATTCTTGACAACAACTTCCACAGTAAATAATCTATACTTCACAACTAGGCCTGTCATGATAACAATTTTGCTGGACAATTGTCTCAGAACTTATTGCGACAAACTATAATAATGTTTGAAATTTGACAATAATTAGTAATTATTGTCAAATTTAAGAAGAAACGTTTGTTTTGAGTGTAGTACCTTTTTTTGACCACCGGGTGGCAGTATAAGACTGTTTGAACTGAAGGATGGATAGTGAGAGAGCAAGCAGTGTGTCTCTCTAAGAAAAATGGGAGGGAGGACCCTTGACGTGACATGGGCTGTCCATCGGTTCCAAATGGCGAACGCTCGGTGTGGTTTGAACTCTTTAGCATAGCCTTTTTCACACAAAGCTTTTAATTTAAAAAAATAATAATCAGTAAACAAGTTCTCAGCTTCTTTTTGCAGAGAAAAACAACTTTTTACACAAAGGCACAAGCTTCAACCGTGAATTTTGGAGCTTGCACAAGACGGAGGTTTTTTTCCCCCCCGAGGTCAGCCTGTTAGCTTAGCTCGTAGCTTAGCTTCTCAGCTTAACTGTGTAGTAGTCACGTAGGTACGTGCCACTAGTTGTAGTATGACAATATATCCCCGTATATATGCATACTTTTTCACGAGTTCCTCATCTTTCTGACTGTGTAATGTCGTGCCTTGAATTTAACAGAAATGTAACGAGAGACGTTATTATCTTTGACCCATCAAATCAATGCGGTCATTTATTTTCAGAATCAAAGTTTAACATCAAACATTTACATTAATTTGGCAAAATATGAAAATAATAACAGACAAGTTTCACAGAAAATGAGCTTCGAATCACTCGGCGGTGATCGAGGACTTTGCTTCAGATATTCCTAAGATATCTGTACTGATTTTAGAAGAGAGAGAAGAGTTTAAGATGAAATGGAGATTTATCTTACAGAGAAATATGTGAGGGAATTAATCTGTTTGACCAGAAATTGCACGCTCCATGAGATCTCAGCTTGCCTCCGGTACACTTTAGTCGAAGAGGAGACCGTTACCTGGTTGACGTAGGTCAGCTCGATAGAGAATCCTCCAGACTTTTTCCAGCGTCTCCGTTGAGGACTACCAAACCCTCAGAGAGTCGTACGTGGTTTTCAAACAGAAATTATAATCCCAAAACGTCTCTGGATCATCCTGAATGCGTTTGCACCCAAGAATTCTGAACTCCTTTCATTCTTCAGAACTTCTCAGACTCTTAATTGTCAGCAACTCTGTAGTTCTTCATCTCTGGAATTCTCCGGAATTCTACAGAATTTTTCTTCCATTCTGAATTCTGAATTCTTCTAATTCAGACATGAACTGGGAAGTTGCCACATCTTAAAATGGGTCGACTTCCGGTTCAATTGAGAGCTTTCTGATTCGTGGATGGACCAGAAAGAGGTGTGTTTTTGTGACGTAAGATGTTATCTAAGCCGAGGTCAGAGAATGAGTTTGTTTAACAACTGACAGAGAGATTATTGCAGAAAAGCAGACTTCGTGGAGTCAAACTTCTTCTGTATCTTCTGTAAAGATTAAACATGACATTTCTTTTTCAGTAAACATTTAGTTGACCGAAGCTTCAACTTTCACATACTTACGTTGCTTGGCTCATTTCAGACAGAAAATCAAGAAATGCATATTAACCTGATTTCTTCTTTGAATGAGGAATAAAAATCATTACTTACTGCTTATGTAAAATAAAAATGAGTAGTTCTTTTCAACCTGTAACATTGAGTGGAACTAACACAATTTGATTATTAAACATTTGTAAACAGTAATGATTATAGAGAATTGTCTTTTCTGCTTGATTAATTCAAGAAAGAAAGTCACCAGATGGCTCAGACTGTATTCAGATCAATGAAAATAACAGTCTCTGTCCATCTGATAGATTTGAGGTCATCAGGGTCAGATCAGGGTCAGATCAGGTTCACTACAACTGCTTTTAACGATCCAAAAACGCTATTTTGAGACGGTTAAAACAAATTTTAAAGAGAAAGGGAGGGATCAGAGAAGAGCACCGGAGTTGAGTCTTTTGTCTTCCAGTGTCTTCAGTAGAATGAGAGACACCAAGAAACAATAAAGCCGATAAATGAAAACGAGGTCGATAATTTTCATTTATCATGCGATTAATTGATTTATTGTTTATTGCGACAGGCTTACTCACAACTCAAAATCCTGAAACAACAAAAGCCTAACCCCGATAGAAATCTAACACATAAGCACTTTATTGTGTATAGGCGTCGTTACAAACAGCCGTGCACATGATCTTCTGAGCATGAACAGCTCCACTTGTACTGGACTGTCAGAACAGTCACTCTTACTTTTTACTTAATTAACAAGAGTTTCTGTTATTCCATCAGGCCTGTGTTTGTAGGACTCAGAGCGCCGGTCTGACAGCCGACCTGCTCTGAGGGGGCTAGGGTCACAGCTAATGCTGGAATGTGTCCATGTGACAGGCTTCAGACCATTTAGTCTAGTTTTTAACACCACCACCGACCCCGCCACACACACATGCCTCAGTTTAAAGCCAAGCAGCTTGTAAATCACTCCCAAGTACAATCCATTAGTCACAAAACTTTCCCCTTTGAGGGGGAAGAATGTTCTACTTGTGATGGATTGTTTTTATTTCCTCTGCACCAAACCTCCCGTATCACATATTTTCATGTTAACAACCCTTTACCTCCACAGCTCTCTGCTCAGCCCTCGTGCCCCCGTGTTCCTCAGCTCCCCACCTCAGTTCACACTACAATGGGCCAGTGTGTGAATGAGAGACGCTGATCTCACATCGAAAGCATTCAGATTCACCCCTCGTGAAATTAGAGCAACATTTGTTTAGTTACAGCCATGCAGCAGCTCCATGCCACCATGCTGGGAGGAGGATTTGCAAGTTGTGAGGCAAAACCGTCCCGGTAATTTAAACAAAAGAGAAGAAAAAGGTTGGGATCTGGACAGAAATATGAGTGGATTTTTTTTTTTTTTTTTTTTTATAAAATGTGGCATTCAAAAAAAAAATACTAGTAAGAAAGTTCAGGCTGAGCTTATTCTGTTTGACTGATATACAGTATATATATAAATAAAATATATACATACATACATACATATATAAATAGGACAATGTGCTTACATTTTGTTGTTTTCCTCCACAAAGAGTTAGATAATTATTTGGTGTCTATTTTTATTTATATCTCCTAAATTTTATTGCATTTTCTGTTGTTTTAAAGTTTAACGCCATCAGCTTGATGTGTTTTATTGTCTGTACAGTTTGTCAAGAGTTTTGGAATTTAGACTATTATAAATAATAAAACCAGAGGTCAAAACCTCAAAATAAGTCATTTAACGAGTTTGCTCTCATAAACTTTCAGCTTGGACACAGAGCTCATCTTTTTAAAATCACTTCAGCCTCAGGAACAAGGAGGAGAACTGACAAGTATGACCTGATGTGATAAAACTCATAAAAACAGAAAAAAGTGACAACACAACGGTGATGAATGCACCTGAACTCAGAGAAGTTAAGAGTTTTGACATGAGGTCAAAAAGGTAACAAGTTTTTCTGTACATTTAGAAAAACCTGAATCTTCAGTGAAGGCCAGGAATGTTCATGAAGATAAGTTCTGTGAGCACATTTCAATCATATGAAACGTCTCGTGGCTTTGTCTCAGAGTTGAAGTCCCTTCAGGAACTCTACAAAATGTCTGTGATAGTTCAGACTCACCTCAATCCACCTCTGCGCCTCCGAGTAAGCTTCCTCACAGCTGACGGAGGTCTGCTCCCTCCACTCCATCACTAGTAATGACTCCCCCGGTTCTGTTCCCACAGTCTGTGGTCCGGTTTGCGAAACTCCTCAGTGACAGCACCCAAAACTCGTCAGGCTCCCAGAGACCAGGTGAGGATGTAAAAAACCTCACAGCTCACTCGGCAAAAATGTTTCCTCCTATTGTTGTGGTCCGGCGGCTCATTGCTGCAGTGAGAATGGAAGGTGTAACAGTAGACTGGCGCATTCCGTTTGGATCAGCCTACCTGTTTCTCATCCGACACACCTGTGCTGATGAGGCTCGGCTCTTTCTTTCTCCGCCTTCAAAGCGCCGACTCGACGGAGCAACAAGTTTCCTCTGCTGAGCCGCGCGAAGATAAAAAGAAAACGACGAAGAAGAAGGGGCTGGCTTCAAAGTGAAGGAAAAGCTGCGGTTTAATGTTATTGTTTTTTTGTTTGTTTGTTTTTTATGAAGCCGAGGTTCTCGCGGATGTTAACAAAAGGTGGCATGCACGTCAGTGTAAAGGTAAAAACAAAGAAGGAGAAAAATGAGGAGTATTTTGTACAAATGTAACTTCCTCCAAAAATGTGAGGTCTGTGAGTCAGAGGGCTCCAAAAGAGTTGAACACCTGAGCCAGTTCTGTGAGTTTGGTTCTGCAGCGACACCCAGCGGCCAAATGGGGCAAAGCAGGACCTTTTCATTCATTCAACCTTTATTTAGACAGGTTAATCCCATTGAGCTCCGGGGACTCGTTTACAAGAGAGACCTGGGCGGCTGTGGCTGAGTGGTTAGAGCAGTCGTCCTCCAATGCAAGAGTTGTGGGTTCGAATCCACCAGCAGTCACATGCCAAAGTGTCCCTGGGCAAGACACTGAACCCCACATTTGCCTCTGATGTGTGTCCCATCGGTGTGTGAATGTGATAAAGCTCTGATTAGTCTCTTTAGAATGATTTGTTCCATTAGCTTTGTAGAGATCTAGTAGAGAGCTGTATGAATGGGTAAATGAGGACACAGATTGTGATGTAAAGTGCTTTGAGTATCTTGATCAGATAGAAAGACGCTATACAAGTACAGTCCATTTACCATTCCATTTACCTGACTTTAGCAAAGAGTGATGACAACAATGGATAACAACAACAATAGACAATCATAAAATAGGCATGCAAATTTAAGTTTCTCTTTTTTTTTCTTTTCTACAAATCAAAACAAAATAGCAACCAAAAGGACAATCAAGTGGAATAGTAGCAAAAAAACAAACAAACAAAAAAACAGATCATAAGGCAATTTAGAAAACTAAAAACAGGAACATGTATACATTGGCTTTTGCCAGGAAATTAACAGACGTTTAAAGCCACTTAGAGAGGTCAAGGTCTCTTGACATTTCTTTTTGTAAGATATTCCAGGAAACAGGAGCGGAGTAGGAGAAGGCCCTTTTGCCAAGTTCAGTCCTCACTGAGGGAACACTGCAGGTAATAATGTCCTGAGAGCGCACGCTGTAGCTGCACTCACGCAGTGACATGTAGGAGGAGATGTATGAAGGCAGCAGACCAAGAAGTGATTTAAAGATGAAAATATACCAGTGAGAGAGTCTTCATGAAGTTAATAATGTCCAGTTAACCAGTGAATACAGGGTGCAGTGGTGGGTACGGTAGCTGCAGCCGGTTATGAATCTTAGTGCACCATGATAGACAGCATCCAACATCTGCAGGGTTCTTGTAGGAGCGTTCATGTAAATAATGTCACCGTAATCAATGGAGGGAAGGAAGGTCACAGATACAAGGCGTTTCCTAGCATTCAGGGTTAGACAGGATCTGTTTCTGAAAAAGAAACCCAGTTTAACTTTCAATTTCCTTACTAGGTTTTCCACATGAAGCTTAAAAGAGAGATATGAGTCGACCAAGATACCCAAATATTTATAGGAATCGACAAACTCAATAGGGACATCATTTAAGGATAAAATCACAGGAGGAAAAAAAATCAAGTTCAAGTTTTTATTGTCATTAAGATAAGATGAAACTTTATTGATCCCGCAGGGAATTGCTCGCATCACATGTGGTACATGAGGTGGAAATAAATTGTGTACTCAAGATCCAGGTACACCCAAAAATAGCAAAATATAAAGTGAAAAAAGAAACCGTATACAAGGATCTAAGATATAAACTAAGTTATACGCTAGTTTATGTCTTAGATCCTTATATACTGTTTCTTTTTTCACTTTATATTTTGTTATTTTGGGGTGTAACTGGGATCTTGAGTACACAATTTCGTTCCATCTCATGTACCACATGTGATGCAAATGACAATAAAGAACATTGAACCTTGAAAAAGCAATTAAATCAAATAAAAGTAGTTATAAAGACTGTCAAATCAAGGTACCTTATAAAACAAGGTAAAATACTAAAAACAAGAACATATTGGTGTAGATTTTTTTATTGACATTATCAAATGTTTAAAATCCCTTAAGGAAATCAAACTGGACAGCTTCGGTTCTTTTTATAAAGTGTTACAGGAGCAGAGTAAGAAAAGGCCTTTTTGCCAAGTTCAGTCTGCACTGAGGGGACGCTGCAGGTAATGAAGGCCTGAGAGCGCACGCTGTAGCTGCACTGATGGCATGAAATGTGGGAGGAGATATAAGAAGTCAGCAGCCCAAGGAGTGATTTATAGATGAAGATGTACCAGACCTACAAGCACCATCTGAACTTCAAATGTTAGAAAAGAGGGTTCAGTCTTAAAAAAGGGGTTCCTTGTTGCCACATTTGTAACCATAAAAATATTAATATCATGTGAGCAGATGAATGTGATTAAAAAAAGGTGGGAGAGAGGCAACAAAAGGCTGTAAAATTAAGTGGTACAAATAAGAAACCACCGATGGAGCAATTTGCAACTAATTGGGTTAATTGACAACAGTTCAGTAAGAAGTCTGGGTATAAAACAGGGCTATTCAACTGGCTGCCCACAGGTGACTTCAAGGATTCAAGGATTATTTTATTGTCATACCAGCTCACATTTGTATGTTTATAGTACAAAATTCGGACTCTGGTCCCAGATCAAGAAGCCTAACAATTAACAAATAAATAAATACAAAAGCGTATAAATATATATACAAACCGGATTCCAAAAAAGTTGGGACACTAAACAAATTGTGAAAAAAAAACTGAATGCAATGATGTGGAGATGGCAAATGTCAATATTTTATTCGTAATATAACATAGATGACAGATCAAAAGTTTAATCTGAGTAAATGTAACGTTTTAAAGGAAAAATATGTTGATTCAAAATTTCATAGTGTCAACAAATCCCCAAAAAGTTGGGACAAGTAGCAATAAGTGGCTGGAAAAAGGAAATTGAGCATATAACGAACAGCTGGAAGACCAATTAACACTAATTAGGTCAATTGACAACATGATTGGGTATAAAAAGAGCTTCTCAGAGTGTCAGTGTCTCTCAGAAGCCAAGATGGTAAGAGGATCACCAATTCCACCATTGTTGCGCGGAAAGATAGTGCAGCAATACCAGAATGGTGTTACCCAGCATACAATAGCAAAGACTTTTAAGTTATCATCATCAACCGTGCATAACATCATCAAAAGCTTCAGAGAATCTGGAACAATCGCTGTGCGTAAGGGTCAAGGCCGTAAAATTCTACTGGATGCTCGTGATCTCCGGGCCCTTAAACGTCACTGCACCTCAAACAGGAATGCCATTGTCAAGGAAATAACAGAATGGGCTCAGGAATACTTCCAGAAAGCATTGTCAGTGAACACAATCCACCGTGCCGTCCGCCGTTGCCAGCTGAAACTCTACAGTGCAAAGAGGAAGCCATTTCTAAGCAAGCTCCACAAGCTCAGACGTTTGCACTGGGCCAGGGGTCATTTAAAATGGAGTGTGGCAAAATGGAAGACTGTTCTGTGGTCAGATGAGTCACGATTTGAAGTTTTTTATGGAACACTGGGACGCCATGTCATCCGGACCAGAGAGGACAAGGATAGCCCAAGTTGTTATCAACGCTCCGTTCAGAAGCCTGCATCACTGATGGTATGGGGTTGCATGAGCACTTGTGGCATGAGGCCTGTAATAGATATGAATGGGAGAGCATTCCTATTTCTAAACTTGAGAAACTGGTCTCCTCTGTCCCCAGACGTCTGTTGAGTGTTGTAAGAAGAAGGGGGGATGCCACACAGTGGTAAAAATGGACTTGTCCCAACTTTTTTGGGATTTGTTGACGCCATGAAATTTGGAAACAACAGATTTTTCCCTTAAAATGATACATTCTCTCAGTTTAAACTTTTGATCTGTGATTTGTGTTCTATTCTGAATAAAATATTAGATGTTGGCACCTCCTCATCATTGCATTTAGTTTTTATTCACAATTTGTTTAGTGTCCCAACTTTTTTGATATCGGGTTTGTATATGTATAATAAATAAAGTTTAAAAAAATATGTAATATGATGCTGAATTAAGTGCAGCTCGAGTTCAGCAGTCTGACAGCTGGTGGGGTGTCCGGGGGTCCTCCCCCAGAAAATTTTGAATAAAGTAGATGCCATTTCCTGCATTCTGGTGTATTTTAACAGGTTGTTTACCATTTATTTTTGCCCAAGGATGTCAGAAGCATCCGTAATGTGGGTGGTGGGGGGGGGGGGAACAATGATGTGTGTAGGTGTGCGTGTGTGCGCACATGCACATGTGTGCGCACGTAAAAAAAGGTGTTCACTAGTGAACAAAAAAGCAACATTTCACCTAGATTTCCTTTAATTCCACACATTTGCTCGAGCATCAATGTGTGGCATGGAGGCTGCATAGCTGCAGAAAGAAAAGTTTTGCAGAGAGTGGTGAAGGCTGCACAGAAATCTGTTGGAATCAGTCTCCCCACCATCACAGACATCTACACCTCCAGATGCAGGAAGAGGGCCACCTGCATCATGAAGGACCCCACCCACCCAGCACACACACTTTTTGCCCCACTCCCCTCAGGAAGGAGGTTAAGGAGCATTAAGTGTAGAACCACTAGACTGAGGAACAGCTTCTACCCTGAGGCTGTTAGACTCATGAATCTC